TTTCTAGTGAGGAAACCATTCAAAGTAAACTACAAGTAGACGAGAGATGTAATCTCCTGTATGAGGAACGGTGTTGCGTAAGTGAGGAGAGGAAACTTTAAGAATTCTTCATGCTTAGGCCGGGCACGGTGGCTCACGCCTGTAATCCCAGTACTTTGGGAGGCCAAGGTGGGTGGATCAGGAGATTGAGACCAGCCTGGCCAACATGGTGAAACCCCGTCTCTACTAAAAATACAAATATTTGCTGGGCGTGGAGGTGGTGTGTGCCTGTAATCCCAGCTACCCGGGAGGCTAAGGCAGGAGAATTGCTTGAACCAAGAAGTCAGAGATTACAGTGAGCCGAGACCACGCCATTGCACTCCAGCCTGGCAATAGAGTGAGACTCCATCTCAAAAAAAAAAAAAAAGGAATTATTCATGCTTAAATATATGCACTGGAATACTGTCCCTCTAACAAACAGAAATTAAATCAGCACAAAGTTAATATTTTACTTATTTAAGCTTCAGTGCCTCTGTTGACATTTTGGAATATAGCTTTCCAGATAATTATATGTATTTATGCAAAATCTACAAGGCAATTGACTCCTATATAATAATGAATGCTTAAGAAAGTAACAAGGCTAGGCATGGTGCCTCACTCCTACAATCGCGGTATTTTAGGAGGCCAAGGCAGGTCGATCCCTTGAGCCCAGGAGTTGGAGACCTGCCTAGGTAATGTAGTGAGACTCTTGTCTCTACAAAAAATAAAAATTTAATTGGCCAGGCGTAGTGGGGCACATCTGTAGTCCCAGACACTCAGGAGGCTGAGGTGGGAGGATTGACTGAACCCCAGGACGACCATCCTGCAGTGAACTGTGATGATGCCACTACACTTTGCACTCTAGCCTTGGAGACAGACAAGACCCTATCTCAAAAAAAAAAAAAAGCAAAAGATTGTTTAAATTTTTCTGATAGGAATGGAAAACCAAACATCGTGTGTTCTCACTAATATGTAGGAGCTAAGCTATGAGGACGCAAAGGCATAAGAACGGTGCAATGGACTTTGGGGACTTGGGGGGAAGAGTGGGAGGGAGCAAGGGATAAATGAGTTCAAATATGGTGCAGTGTATAGGCTCGGGTGATGGGTGCACCAAAATCTCACAAACCACCACCAAATAAATTACTCATATAAACAAGTACCACCTGTACCGCAATCACTTACAGAAAAAACAATTTCTAGTATGAGTTTTTCCTGCATTTGGATGAGGATGTAAATTCAACTCTAATAAATTACAGTGTATCATAAGGATTAAACGTCTCTCCCCTGCATTCCCTCCTAGCTCTGTTCCATCCTACACAGCTGCTGGATTAATCTTCCAAAACACCAATTTTCTCATGCCACTTTTCAAAAACTGACTTCCTGTTGTCTAAAAACTAGTTTCAAATGCTTTTGTCTGGCATTCAAGGAGGTTGGTAGTGTAGACTCTCCTAAATGTTTCACTCCTACTCCTTCCTTCTACCGCATACCAGCTGTGTGCCCTTGGGATGGTTATTATTATTATTATGAGACAGAGCCTTGCTCTGTCACCCAGGCTGGAGTGCAGTGGCGCGATCTCGGCTAACTGCGACCTCCCCCTCCTGAATTCAAGCAATTCTCCTGCTCAGCCTCCCAAGTAGCTAAGACTACCGGCGTCCACCCCCATGCCTGGCTTGGGCTAGTTATTTTAAGACCCATCCCCCTGCCCTTGTAAAGATCCCACACACCTCCTGCACTCAGTGACTCACTGTAGCAATGCCTGGAAAGGCTGTAACAGTCATATTCCAAGCCCTGGACTACTCAGGAGTCAGGGGTGATGGTGCCACCACCTAATCGCATGGATTGAGGATGGGAAGAGTGATTCTCAAGAAGAAAACTTGGGCACCCGTATGAGAAGTTAGTACAACTGCCTGTAAGCGCTCTGGGCAAAATTTAACAACTGTCTGTTCCAAAAATGCAGAGACACAGGAACTTCGTAACTCTTGTTGGGGTATCTTCCATCATATATGACTCAGTAAGGGTATATCAAGCAAATTCAACTGTAGGGACTGCCCCATTCTGAGGCATAGTGTCACTTATGTTCCTAAATTCATATTTTACCATTGCGGTTCTAGCCACTCTCTATAGATCAGGCCCACTTGAGCAGCCCAATGCGCTGAGTTTTATCTGTATACAATGTACATATCTTTTTAAATAAGAGGTATGTGCTTCAATAATTTAATTTTTTATCTTAGATTGCAGAAATTTCACTGTAACGCTTACTCAAATGGTACAAAATAAACAAAAACGATGTATGTTATGATGAATCTAACAAAACGTACTTGGAGTTGTTGTTTCCCCCTGTTGAAGCAGCACATTCCTGTTGGTGAAAAGACATGAGACCAACAGTTCTCTCCACACTTATGGCTGCAGCCTTGTACCCATTAATTAAGGCCTCGGAATTCACCTGAAACTTCCATGGTTACTTGTCAATCCAGGATGGTCATGACCAAGCCACTTTACATCCACTCATCTTCAGTGCCTCCTTCCACACACACACCTTTCCTGGTTTAGACTTTCATTTCTCCAGTTCTACAGCAATATTTGCAAATCTCTTTTGACCACAAACTCCTCACAGTCAGGGACTTCTCATTTTGATTTCCCCAGGCTTGGAATTTTGTTTTGTTCATGGGGAGGGGGTGAGATTTTTAAAATTGCATTAATGAATGCAAACAATCAATCCATTGCTCCATGCTGTATATAAACACTAATAAATATTGATTTATTTCTTATAACAAAGGCAATAGGAGCTTCTCTCAATAAACTAAATTCCAAGGAAAGAATGAAGGCAGGAAAGTATCTGGTTTGTTTGCACCTAAGGCCTTAGTTTAGGTTTGTTTACTTGCTTGGAGACAGGGTCTCCCTCTGTCGCCCAGTGGTGTGGTAGGATTATAGCTCCTTTTGGTCTGTAACTCCTGGGCTCAAGTGACTCTCTTGCTTCACCCTCCCAGAGTACCTGGGACTATAGGCATGTACCACCATGCCCAGCTAATTTTTTTTTTTTTTTTTGAGAAGGAGTCTGACTCCATCGCCCAGGCTGGAATTCAGTGGCACAGTCTCAGCTCACTGCAGCCCCTGCCTCCCAGGTTTAAGCAGTTCTCCTGCCTCAGTCTCCCAAATAGCTGGGCACCTGCCACCACACCTGGCTAATTTTTGTATTTGTATTTGTATCATTTATTTTTTGAGATGGAGTCTTGCTCTGTCGCCCAGGCTAGAGTGCAATGGCACGGTCTCGGCTCACTGCAACCTCTGCTTCCGGGGCTCAAGCCTCCCATGTAGCTGGGATTACAGGTGCCTGCTAATGTTTGTATTTTTAGTAGAGACAGGGTTTTGCCATGTTGGCCAGGCTGGTCTTGAACTCCTGACCTCAAGCGATCCACCCACCTTGGCCTCCCAAAGTGCTGGGATCCGGCTAATTTTTAAATTATTTTGTAGAGACTAAGTCTCAAAATGTTGTACAGACTGGTCTTGAACTCCTGGCCTCAAGCTATCCTGCCACGTTGGCCTTCGAAACTGCTGGAATTACAGGTGTGAGCCGCCCTGCCCAGCCAGTATTTTCACATAAACATTATTTCAGTGAATTCTGACAATCCTGCAGACACTTACAGACTCATCGTTTCTTGCTTAATGTAACACAACCACACGTGACAGTCCCATCAGTCAAATCCAGCATGTTTGACTCCACGATTACCAAATGCACTATCCCATGTATTGGAAAAGGAAAATTGGAGGTCACTGAAAGAGCAGTGAAGTTATGGAAATATGAAATTTTTCACATGACTCTGAGATTGAGTGTTTGGGTATTATCAGGAAATGTTAAAAATGTCTATTTTTTCTTTTTTCTTTTTTTTTTTTTTTTGAGACAGAGTCTTGCTCTGTCACCCTGGCTAGAGTGCAATGACGTGATCTCAGCTCACTGCAACCTCTGCCTCCAGGGTTCAAGTGATTCTGCTGCCTCAGCTTCCTGATTAGCGGGGATTACAGGCATACATCATCACACCCGGCTAATTTTTTTTGTATTTTTAGTGGAGGCGGGGTTTCATCATCATATTGGCCAGGCTGGTCTTCAACTCCTGACCTTAAATGATCCACCTACCTTGGTCTCCCAAAGTGCTGGGATTACAGGTGTGAATCACCACACGTGGCCCAAAAATGTCCATTTTCAACAGTGGTTTAAAACACTCTTGAACAGCAAGAGGAGTAAAAGTTGAAGGACATATTGTGACAGCAATTGATGGTATGGAAACTCTGGTGAATGAGAATCATTTTTAAATTACTTTTTTTGTAAAGTGCAAAAGCAACAATAGCACCCATTTGCATCATACTTTGTACTTTGCAAAGTACATAGAAAAATAAAGGTAATGATGGGGATCATTGCAATTCATAGGAAAGGAGGCAAGAGGAAATGAAAATGAAAGGGAATAGTAATCTACATAACTAGTCAATCTTCCTTAAAAAAAAAAAAAAACCTTAAAATATCTTTCTACCATCCGTTTTCTATTTGATATAAGGCAGAATGGGAATGATAAAAAAAAATTACAGTTCAGAGTTTCAAAAAGCAAACCAGGCCGGGCGCGGTGGCTCAAGCCTGTAATCCCAGCACTTTGGGAGGCCGAGGCGGGTGGATCACAAGGTCAAGAGATCGAGACCATCCTGGTCAACATGGTGAAACCCTGTCTCTACTAAAAATACAAAAAAATCAGCTGGGCATGGTGGCGCATGCCTGTAGTCCCAGCTACTCAGGAGGCTGAGGCAGGAGAATTGCCTGAACCCAGGAGGCGGAGGTTGCGGTGAGCCGAGATCGCGCCATTGCACTCCAGCCTGGGTAACATGAGTGAAACTCCGTCTCAAAAAAAAAAAAAAAAAAAAAAAGCAAACCAGCTTTAGCGAAATCCTTGAGGTTGGGCTGATAACAAGATCACTCAACTGGTGTTTCCTGGCAGTCAACGTCAGAATAATTCCATCTTCATGAGAATTACAAAAAGAACCACAAACCAAACCTCCAAATTGATTCTAAGATAAAATACCCTTAAAAAAATTTCCCTTCCTATCCGAAGGCAGACGAAGAGGAAGTTTATCCCTCCCCCCACCCTCACAAATTCCCCAGAGAGCTTTCATCTAAAACGTTTGACTCTGGTTAGATACCCAGCGAGCATCTTCTCTGAACCTCTTGTTTCCTCCATGGCAAGCTCCAGAGAATAAGAAGGCAGATTCAAGATTCCCATGGGCCTCAGGACGACTAAACAGATGGGGAGAGGCACTAAACCTGGTCACCAAGAGTGTATGTAGGCATTTGTTGTTTTCCTACCTTTCTAAGAGCTGGGTTTTTAGCCAGAAGTTGCTTATTTATGATAATTTTCCGATATATTGGACACTAAATACTATTATCTCTTTCCACCCAACTTATCTTTCCGTTCTTATGTGCGAAGGCAGAAAAAGATGATTTAGAGCTCTTCAAAGATTCCTATTAAATTTAAAATGCCCGTAGCCTTTCTATAATAGATTTAAGATTGATGATAGCTTTAGTTAAAATGTAACAATCTTAAATATATTTTTCATAACCAATTCCAACATGTTCTCACTTAAGTCCTGGGTATTGAACATAATATTTTAAATATTTGAAATCAGCATTTCCGAGAGAACCTGAAGCTGTTTTTTCTAGAGAGGCTGTGCGTGTGAATCGGGCAACTTCTTTTCACTCGTTTTGTGCAGCACTCACCCTGGAGGTCTAATGCCAAAGAAAAATCAAAATAGAAAGTACCAGCGTGTGCCATCATGCAGCGGCAGAGGCTGCTTAAAGATCAGGAAATTGTTCAAATATCAGATCGCCGGCGGGCATCTCAGCCCAGGCCTGTGTAAGGGGAGTTCTGGTGCCTCCGCAGAGGGCGTGATTAGGGCGCCAGGAAAGCGACCCGCGACTGCAGCCGTTTGTTAAGGCCAGTCCTTCGCTCGCGGTCTGTCCCGGGCGGCAGTCGTGTGAGCCCCACGCTAGGACCGGGCCAGGGGGACGTGGGCACCAGGCAGGGAGCGCGCTCCGAGCGCTGGGGACGCCGGGGACACCCAGGGGCCCTCCTTGCCTCCCAGCCCCGGGTCACCGCACTCCGGCTCCCGCCCCGCGCCTCTGGAGGGAGGTACCCAGGGACGCCCGGCGAAGGGGCTTTGCTAATTGCCAAAGCAGGAAGTGAGCTCGTGGAAGAAGCCGAGCAGAAGAAGAAGGAGGGAGGAGGAGAAGACGGAGGAAGGCCGGGGCGCGCGGGGCAGCGGAGGTTTGCTCCTGGCGCGTAGGAGCCGCAGGACTGCCCATCTCCGTGATCCCACTGTCCTCCCGCGCCCCGGAGGCCGGCCAGCCCCGCTCGGACGCTCTTTTGCCCCTAACCCGCCCCCATGGCTTCACCGGAGGACCCTCTGCGCGCAGGTAAAGGGACACAGCGCCGTGCCCACACCTGGAGCGGGCGCCGCGGGCCCGGAGCTCGGGAGGCGCTCGTAGCAGCCGCAGGGCCATCGAGGCCGAGCCTCGGCGACCATTGAGGGGCGCCGGGCAACCACCCCGATACAGGCGCCAGACCCGGAGTCGCGCGGGGCCCCCAGCCCAGGCCCGCGAGCGGCTGCTGACCGCCCCTCCCGCGCTCCCCACGGCCCCTGCACCGCGTCACCCACCGCGCGCCCTCCCCTTGCCCGCGCCGCAGCGCGGGTTGCTTTTGTTCTGGACTCGAAATGCCAGGTTGAGACACGTCCCGCAAACCTCTGGCAGAAATGGGCGCAAGGGGGTGGATTTCCTTGTCTCCTCTCGGGCTTTTTCTGTCTCCCAGCTCACATGCCTTCTCATTTCTCCTCTCTCTCTTGCCCATTGCGCTTTGATGAAATGGTTTTGTTTGTCTAAACATTGGCCCTGGGAACTATTTCATCAGATAGTACCGCAGAACCGAGAGGCCGATCCCACCTGTGAGATCCCATCCGTGGTTAGAATGACCTCTACTTCTGTCTTTATTTTAAAATATCGTGTGTTGGTACCCGAGGTCAGAGTGGAGATTTTTCTCTATTCTCTCACGTGAATCTAAAATCCGTCCCACACCTTGCTTTCCTGGCGTTCCCGCTCTCTCCTCTCCTATAACCTAGGCGGTGACCTCCATGCGTGTTTCTTGAACACATCAGTGAATGAATGATCAGTCCCCCAGAGTACACTGGGGCTTTACGTGGTTTTGTTGAGGCTGGAAACACTGAAGAGAGTTACGCAGAACCTGATATAACCGTTTAGTTAAACGCGTTTCCTATTTCATTTCTTGAGCTTGGGCAGCGGCGGAGTTTGAATGTTCCATCCTTGTATTACCGCTTCAGCGGTTAAAAGGAGACAGTGCGTCTGAAGGTGGTCAGGAGTCTACACCCAACAGCTAAGTTGGCATTGTGATGGCTGGGTTTGGGGGAGTTTCTTGGAGACTTCAAAGAAAGATCTACCTTCCTCTTTAAGCGGAGATTGGTAAACATTGTATCAATTGGATGTGGAAAATAAATACATTGTCTAGATATTCTTCCCTATCCCCATACCTATTGTTTGAAAACATAGAAGGGGAAACAAAGGGAGAAATCCTCCTACTGCCCCGTGCCACTCCACTATCACCCTAGTATCCACCTCCTCTTCTGAGAACTGAATTGACAAGGTGCCAAGAGGTGTTTGGGGCTAGATCTGACTAATCATGGTCTCAGATCTCATTAAATGATGACTGTAGGGGTGGGGAGTGGATTCAAAAAAGACCTTGAGAGAGATACACTGCATAGAGATAAAATGTAAGATCTACTTGGGCCCCCCTAAATCGACAGTACCAGGCAAGATGGAGGCTGGGAAATAGCTCAGCAGTGACCGCAGTGCATAAAAAGCTCAGTGGCTGGGTGCAGCAGCTCAGACCTGTAATGCCAGAGCTTTGGGAGGCTGAGGCAAGAGGATTGCTTCAGGCCAGGAGTTTGAGATTAACCTTGGCAACATAGTGAGGACCTGAGTCTACAAAAAATAAGCCGAGTGTGGCAGTGCATACCAGTCCCAGCTACTTGGGAGGCTGAGGCAGGAGGATCGTTTGAGTCCAGGAGGTGTCGCCTGGGTGACAGAGCAAGAATTTGTATTAAAGAGAGAGAGAGAGAGGGAGGGAGGGAGAGAGAGAGAAAGGAAGGAAGGAAAGAAGGAAGGAAGGAAGGAAGGAAGGAAGGAAGGAAAGAAGGGAAAAAAATAAGCCTCACTGAGTCAATAGTGCTATGAGGCCCTGAGGAACGAGGCAGGGTCTAGTGCGGGTGGCTAATACAATCACAGATGACAGTAAATAGCACTGTAGTTTCCCATGGTGGTATTCTTAGTCGACTCCACCCAGCCAAAATGGATGTGCACAACCTGGAATAAACCGGCTACATGGAACGAAGGGATTTAAAATTCCCAGCACATGTGGAGTAGTGAGAGGACAGAGGATATGATGATAGGAGGGTGTCATGGGCTGGGCGTGGTGGCTCACGCCTGTAATCCCAGCACTTTGGGAGGCCAAGGTGGGCAGATCAAGAGGTCAGGAGTTCGAGACCAGCCTGGCCAATAAGATGAAACCCTGTCTCTACTAAAAATACAAAAATTAGCCGGGCATGGTGGCGCACACCTGTAATCCCCGCTACTCGGGAGGCTGAGGCAGGAGAATTGCTTGAGCCTGGAAGGCAGAGGTTGTAGTAAGCCGAGATTGTGCCACTGCACTCCAGCCTGGGTGACAGAGTGAGACTTCATCTCAAAAAAAAAAAAAAAAAGAAGAGTGTCATATGGAAAGAATCCATCTTTGACTTCAAGAGGTAGAACCAAACCTGTTGGTGAAAACTTTAGAGAGAGACGGATTTGGGCTTCCCACAAAGAGAAAGGAGGCCTCCTAAGGGTGAGATCTCCCCACCCGTTGGCAGAGGATGTTAAAGAACGCGCTCCACCATCTGAAACATTATCCAAATGTCCGTTTCCATTCTGGGATTCTCTTCTGTCTGTAAAATGAACGTTCCTCCATTTAAACACAGGCACACACATGCACCCTAATTTCCCCTTCCTAGCATATCATTTTGTTTCTGCAACCCACAGTAGACACTCACTTACTCCTTTTTCTATAATGAAAGCATAGATGGTGCCCATGTCTTGAGCTCACTTTACCCCAGACCAAGGTACCGTACTCTCTCACCTGATTTCCTACACTCGTCTCTCCTCTGGTGTTTTCACGCCCTTCCAACTTACGTTCCCACGCCCGCTCTTGCCTTCTGGTAACCTGTTCTGCAAAAGGTGGCCAGGGTTATCTTTTATTTTATTTTTATTATTATTTTTTGAGATGGAGTCTCATTCTGTCACCCAGGCTGGAATGCAGTGGCGTGATTTCACTCACTGCAACCTCTACCGCCCGGGTTCAAGCGTTCCTCCTGTCTCAGTCTCCCAAGTAACTGGTATTACAGGTGCACACCACACCTGGCTAATTTTTTTCTTTTTTAAGAAGACGGGGTTTCACCATGTTGGTCAGGCTGGTCCTGAACTCCTGACCTCAGGTGATCCGCCCTCCTTGGCCTCCAAAGTGCTTGGATTACAGGCGTGAGCCACTATGCCCGGCCACCTGGCTAATTTTTTGTAGTTTAAAACTGATCTTGAACTCCTGATCTCAAATGATCCACCCACCTCAGCCTCCCAGAGTGCTGGGATTACTGGTATGAGCCACTGTGCCCAGCCAGCCATCTTTTAAAACAAATCAGATTCTGCCATTTGTCTGTGCTGGCTTTGAATCTGGTGCTGACTTTCCAACACTTTCCAACAGACTGTGAGTCCTCAAGGCTTCCACACGCTGTACAACCAATCCCTACCTATTCCTTCACCTGCCTCACCTGATACATAGTTTAACCCGTGCTCTCTGCCTGCAGCTGTACTGCCTCCTTTCATTTCTTTAAAGCCTCTTGCACCCTCGCACCTCCTGGCCTTCGTGCAGTTTGTTCCTGTGGCCTGGAAGGTCCCCTGCATTCCAGCCCTCACCCCGTCCTCCACCCACCCATTTCCTTCTACTTAACCTCCAGATGTCAGCTCTGAGGCCACCCAGATCCAGCCTGATGTTATACATGCTCAGCAAACCCTGTCACTTGTCACAATTTCTAGCAGTGATTTTTTGGCCAGTGTGGCTATTTCCAGTAGGCCACACGCTGGTGGATCGAGGCCATGTCTGTGCGGCAGCGCTCCCTAACACCCAGCAGAGTACTCCGCACATAGAAAGCCCCAGGCAAATACCACCTTCGTGAATGAAGGAA